TTTATCAATTAAACATTTAAGTAGAGAAACCAAGTAAGTGACATTTTCAGAGAAGCTATAATCATGGTAAGAGGTGGTAAAACAGTGGTCTGCGAACCTTTTATTACAGATTTTTTAGAAGGTGGAGCTAATAATTCTTCGTCTTTTTTTATTCCCCACTACTTAATTTGGAAATTAAAATCATTCATGCATACTGAAACTTTTTGTGGAATAGTTACGTTAGATTAAGTGAAGGCTAAAACAATTTTGTTACATTAAATATGCCTGTACTGATGCTACCCTTTCATGCTATTTTCACTGATTAAATACCTCTAAAATGTCACTTACCTGACACTCTAATTACCTGACTCTTACCTTACCTAAACTCTTTAATTGTGTAAGTATATGAACTTCAGTTTTGTGCATCATTTCTTTGCGTTGCTCAGTACTGATTAATTTATTTTTTTTAATCACCCAGTACAAAGAACTGGTATTCAGCTACTTAAAAATAATAAATTTATTCTTAAGAGAACCTGAGCTGTCCAAAAGATCTCTATTAGAGGAATTTTTTTAAATATGCAATGCTTAATTAATGTAAATTTTTAAACTTCTCCCTTCACAACAAAAATAAAAAGAATTCTATTGGAGGAATTATTTAAAGATCCGGTGCTTAATTAATTTAAATTTTTAAACTTCGCTTATAACAACAGAAATAAAATGAAAGTTGAAAGTAAAAATTCTTATCTATGCTTTAAAATGAAACTCATATCAAACTATTTTAATTTCATCAAAAGAGTAAATAAAGCAAAACTTTACTCTTCTTTTGATGTTAGGTACAAAAAAATAAAACAAAGATAAAGGGAAAAAATGAAAGGAGGTTAAAAAGTGGAAAATAATAACAAAAATGATTTTTTTGGAAATTAAATTCCAAAGAAGTTTTTTTAAGCATAGAACATTACAATAAAAACAATCTATAAACGAGAAATTCTTTAATAAACTCTGAACAAGACTTGAATATGTAATTACTATAATTTGATTACTCACTCTGAGAATTAAGAAGAATTAAGAAAAAATTTTGTTTCATAATAGTTATTTTCCTACACTAAGATCTTTAATAAAAAATTTCCAGTAACTGTATTCTTTACTTAATTATTAAATGAAAATTTTATACATTAAATCAATAAAAACAGTAAAAAGTTAAAACAGTACAATTAATTTAAGCAAACATCTATCATTTCTAATGTTATACTATATTAACTAATTGATGTTACATGGAATTATTTTTTAAGTTTCTTTCATAATAAACTTTTATTTTCGATTTGTTGCTCAACATCTTCCGCAAAATGAATGTTTAAAATTAACTTATTTTCAAACAGCCTTGTTATGCTTATATAGTTAATAAATATGTATTTATATTACTTTAAATTTCTAATAATTTCGTCATACGTACTTTAGTTACGCTAATTGGATTAAAGGAAACATCAGACTTCAAAGATTAAACACTGTTTTCTCTTATTTAATTAGCTTTGTGTTCTTTTAAAGTTTAAAAGGATTGCTCCTTAGATGTACTACGTTGTCATTCTGTTAATTTCTACTTAAATAAACGTGAATCTCTTAATTTGTATTTTTTTAATGAAAATGTACAAAGAAATTTTGTTCATCTACTAATTATTTAAGTAAATTAGATTTTCGAAAAGTAAATGAGATTTATAATTTTTAGGTAATCAAATTAATGAGATTCGTGAGAGAGAGAAAACATAAGGATGGAGGACATTAATAATTACTTTCTACTAAGAAAAGAGGGTTAGATGCCTTGATAACAATTTTTTCCATAGTTAATTTAATCGTACATGCTGAATTTTAAATAAAAAGCTTTTTTTCTATTTACTTTTACAGTATACTAGAAAATATGATTTTGCTTTGTAGAAATGTCAGCAAATTGTCAAAAACGTTTGAAAATGTTCAGTTTGGAACATGGCTTCTAAATTAATTTATCCCGTCATTTCACCAAGGACTTATCGAATAAAAAGTGGACATTTGATTGGTTTTCAGTAATAAATGGGATTTTTTTATTTAATTTTTCTCGACTCTTCCCAAAAAGGTGCTATTTGTTACAAAACTAATATTCAGAAAATTTCACTTCAATAAAATAATATTAAGACCCGAACCTAAGCGTTAAAGTTTAAAAAACACGGAATTTTTCGCAATAAAATCCGGACGGATAGTTATAGAAGTTTTAGCTAGACTTAGTTTGTAGATAATGCTATCAGATTAAACTTTTATAATTAAAACGCTTTTGTCAAATGAGCAGATCAAAAGATATAAGGGTTTTTTTTATAATTTTCCCAGAAAAAACAATTATTCCGAGAGTGTTGTAAAATGTAAGTACATTTTGTTACTTATCTTAAAATGGCTCAAATATAGACAATAACTATTTGCTGTTAGATTAGTGAAACATTTAAGAGATTGACAAAAATAAGTGAATAAAATAAAATAAAACTGATTTTTCCATAAATTGAACTTTTAGACATCCTAGTACGGTAAAATGAAATGAACTGATCGTGATAGATGTAAATAAAATATTTACTAACAATCACCTTTCTGCTTCAAAAAAAATTATTTTTGGTTGTTTTCACATGAAGCCAAAGCGAAATAATAATAGTTTCTGTAGATATCATTTTTGACAAAGGGTTATGTTAATGTTGGTGACTTCTTAACTTACCTTATTGATTTACATCTTCTTTCTGTGTAATATATCAGAGATTAATATCACCTGAAATGATTGGCCGAAAGCCTGAAAATGGAATTTTAAAGTTTAACTTTATTAACTGCAGAAACGCGAACATTGTGCCAATGTTGCGTCTTGGCACACTTCTGTCTCTAACAACTTTGATTGTTAAGAAATTATAATACTTTGATCATTCTTGCCGGAATCTAAGAAAGAACAGAATAAAATAATACAATATTTCTTAGACATTTCCCTTTACACTTGTCTAGTTTTGACAAGTAAAATAAGTTGGAAGTTAAATCTCTTGTAGACAACTGCCCTAGGGTAAATTGAGATAGTATATTGCTATTAAATTTCTAAATTTAGTTATTTCATACTAAATCTACTCCACTATATTAAGCATATTTACAACAGTACACGTACGATGTGATTTTTGTACAAAAAGTGTACACTTTTTGAAGATTGTTAAGTTCTTAGCTTTTTATAAAAAGTATTCATTTCAGATTAAATAAAAAATAAAGCAGATATATTTTTATATAAAATTAAATTTCTTTAACAAAACGCTTGCTGTAGTTACAAGTTTGATTTAAATCTAGATTTGTAAGATTTACCTAATTCTTAATATGTACTGTGAGAAATTAGGCACCTAAGAAACAAGTTTTGCATAGTTTATTTTCTATCCAGCACCAAGGAAAGTTGGAAACAAAGAGATGCAAAGAGGCTGACAATCGAAGAAATTTAGGTTTTTTTGAGGTGAAGAGGAGGAAATGGATATAGAGAATAGTAAATCAAATAATTGTATCCCCAAACCTTAAGCTCGTTACTAAGATTGCAGAGATCTTCAAAGATTAATAAATTCAAAAAGCGCACAGAAGATATCAGAAGTAACTAGACAATTTTCAGTCCAGCTTTGATGTTTGCTTGAGGAAGTTCCGAAGTGAAGTTTCTGGAAGACAAAAATGAGGGCAGAAGAGGAAGTAATGTAAACACTACTTCTGCAGTTGCTGAAGAATTTGTGTTTTTTAAAAGTAATCATTTCCAATATATTTCCAATATCTTCCTTTTCAATTAGTAAGAGCTATAAACATTTAGCGTGAAATTTTTTAATCTTTAAGGCAACGTCTCCTGAAATCAGCAAAATTAAGTAAAAAAACTGAGATCTATAATAAACTGGTCAAATAAAAAATTAATGACATCGAAGATGTTGCTATGTAACTATTTCTGGGTAATTGCAAAGCCCAATATATTTCTTGCTGTAGAAGATTGTAAAGAAATTATGATTTATATATACAGATTTCGTAACACGAAAAAAAATATTTTTTGAGTTAAAAGCAAAATATCTTTCAAATGTAATGCATCACGAGTAATGTAAAAGCGATCTATATTCTTTAAAAAAGAATTTCCTTTACAGATATCTTTAAAAATATTTGTTATTCCTGGACAAGCATCAACGTATGTAAAAGTTTAGTTTAATGCTGCATTAGCTCTATACCGAGATTTTGAAATAAGCCAAACAAAAAATTAATTTGGTTCCGAAATTCTTGGGGGGAAAATTAAAAGAACTTGGAAACTATTGTCATATGATGAACATGAACTGAATAAGAAAATTGGAATTTTCCAAGCAGAATTACATTTAAAATCAAATGCACTTATTAAAAAAAATGAATACCAACATCATCTCGCTAGTAAAAAGATTTCTGTCAGATTTAATATTGTCGAAATTCTCTTCATCTTCACTCTGATCCAGATGATTAAAAAATAGTCTTGTGATTTTAGAAAATACTGAACGTTTCTCTAAAAAAAAATTTACAAAATACATTTGGTATTTTCGCCTATCTTTTCTGAACATATTATTTATGATTTTCTTTAAAGCATTTTGCAATTGTTACTACATGCAGGAAGTGCAATTTGAAATCAGCTTCCTCCGAACATATCCTTGATTGTCTGGAATTTTTCTTGGAGGACATTCTCTTACTAAAAATTTTGGTGTGTGACTTTGCTATCGCATTTGGACTCATACATTTGATATAGCCGAGGCTATATTGTAAAGGATTGGAAACAACAACAACAATAGTAAATAATGGTACACAAATTTTCATTTACCTTAAAAAATTAAGTTCATCGGGTGTGTTTAAACAAAACACATTTTTCCCTTGATCTGTAAATTTTACAAAACGTTTTATTTAAAAAAGTTAAATTTAAAGCATTACCTACAAAATAACTCCATATTTGTATTTTCGTAACAGTCTGTGGGGATTTTATAGCAGAAAAATATATTGTTTTTTTTTTTCAGCNACTAGGAAAAATTGGGCTTGGAGTATGGTACAAAATGCAACATGTGCAGAGGTGCCACATATCTGACAAGCTCAAGCAAGAAGAAGAAGAAGAAGAATATTTTCGAAATTCTCTTCATCTTTACTCTGATCCAGATGATTAAAAAATAGTCTTGTGATTTTAGAAAATACTGAACGTTTCTCTAAAAAAAAAATTTACAAAATACATTTGGTATTTTCGCCTATCTTTTCTGAACATATTATTTATGATTTTCTTTAAAGCATTTTGCAATTGTTACTACATGTAGGAAGTGCAATTTGAAATCAGCTTCCTCCGAACATATCCTTGATTGTCTGGAATTTTTCTTGGAGGACATTCTCTTACTAAAAATTTTGGTGTGTGACTTTGCTATCGCATTTGGACTCATACATTTGATATAGCCGAGGCTATATTGTAAAGGATTGGAAACAACAACAACAATAGTAAATAATGGTACACAAATTTTCATTTACCTTAAAAAATTAAGTTCATCGGGTGTGTTTAAACAAAACACATTTTTCCTTTGATCTGTAAATTTTACAAAACGTTTTATTTAAAAAAGTTAAATTTAAAGCATTACCTACAAAATAACTCCATATTTGTATTTTCGTAACAGTCTGTGGGGATTTTATAGCAGAAAAATATATTGTTTTTTTTTTTCAGCGAAGTTGCGGTTTTTTTTTTCAAACTTTGACGCTCGGGGGTGTGGTTAAAATACTATTATTTTTTACTGAAGCGCTCAAAATATTAGTTTTATAACAGATAGCCCTTTTTTAGAGGGTGTCTTCAAAGAATTTCAAACTTTTATAGTATCAAACTTATCATAGTATCAAACTTATCATAGTATCATCAATACAGATGAGATAACAAAAAACACCATTCAGGAATATAAAAGACATTTGAAGAATTGTAATACAAATTTAAAAAAACTAAACACAATTAATCACTTTCGATAAGAGTGAGTGTCATGCTGAAATGACTGCGTTCAAAACAGAGCACTGTGTAGTTTGGTTTTAAAGGGCAGAATTCGATGGTTCTGCTCAAACAAAAATCATACACTTGTGTTTCGAATTGTAATTCTCCGCTTACATCTCATCTTTCATCAACCATAACAATACATTTTAAGAAGATCGCGGTGCTTATTTATCTTAGTCTATATAATATTGATAATGAATATTTTATTTTATTTTATATCCGTCATTGAACAGTCGGCCCAATTTTTTGGGTTTACGACTACTGATGTTCAACTTCGTAGCCTTGTAATTTTAAACCAATCCAGAAGACAAGGAAACTCCTGGATCAGTGCCCCCAGAAGTATTGATTTGTTATGGGAACCTGGAGGACTTTGCGACTCGTCAGATTTAGCGTGCATCAGTCACCATTTACTACACGGGGAGTCTTCGGCAGGCGGGGATCGAACCCACCATCTCTTGGACATGGGCCCAGTGCCCTACCAACCAGGCTATCCCGCCCCCTGATAATGAATATAATAAATATCGATGCTCGGCTCTCACGAAACATTTACAGCCTTTCGTCTTGGACAGTGCCTACCATAGAGAAATAACATTACATCCGCTTTACTCTAACTTCCTTCCTCTAAACACTATACTACTGCACGTTATTATTTCATAGACGTATTTGCCAATGATACTATACACACTTAATGTACTTTTATTTAATAATTTGGTACTCTAAATGCTCTTACATATGACTGGAATCATTCCTAAGCAATTTTATCATGCACTCCTTGCATTTGTGATGGTATTACGTGCGCTTACTTTTCAATCTGGCAACTCGAGTATTCCTATGCGCCTATTTATATTGAGCTTCCTCTGGTCTTGCATTTTATTTGTTTATAGGTTTATTTAATAGCATTCAATTATTTTTGTAACCTAATTAAAAACTATTCAAGGGTTTTTGATCACGTGGGGATTTGATCAATTTTTTTAACAGAAAAACTGATCAAATCTGTCACAAGTGTCATTGCATTTTTAATAAGTTCTATACTTAAATTGTATTAACAAAACAGTTTTGAGAAAATAATCAACTTTGAGATGCTTTAATTGTAATAACTTCAATAACAATCAAAATATCTCAGTAGTAATAACATTTAAACAATAAAGAAGATTAAGGAAGATACAGATGAAGAACAATAAAGAAGACATTTAGACAACAAAGAAGTAACATTTAAACAATTGTATATACAATATAATATTAATAAGACTAGGAAAGTTTCTATGAATTAGTTATTGAAAAACTCTTTCTGGGAATAAACTATGTTTCTCAGCGTCCTAAAATAATTCATCTAAGAAAAATTTCCAACACATTTAATGACTGCCAGTCTTTTTTCATTACTGAGTCTTCCTAATATGAACAAAGATTTTAAAAATAATAAATGAAAAACAGAAAGAATAATAAAAAATATGTTTTCGAAACTAAGAAATATACTTTCATCCAGTTTCAAAACTACTCATATCTACAAAATACATCAAACTACAGTGCTTCTGACTGCAAAATTTATAGAACTTTGCTTTCTTATGATTTTCAGACCATTTTCACTGAAAATACAAATCAGGTCGAGCTTAATTTTTATAATTATCATTATTTATTTATCTGTTTATTTACTTTTCTTTTCTGGTTTCAGACTGAGCCACGTTATTTCTCTGAACACTCTGAAATATTGCACCTTAAATTACGGTCAATAATTAGCAAAAAATGCACCGGACGCAAACCATAAGGCCCACCAGTAACTTTTTCTTGTAAAATGTCATCAAAATATGCTACTGGCCTTAAATTAACAATGGTTGTCCTCAATTCAGACCTTAATGATGTTTGAGACTCTAACTTTTTGCTTGTCAAATCAAGGTGTTTCTTGTAGGGAAGCGAGGTAGCGTTATAATGCCATTTGTTGAGGAGTGAGAGGATTTCGTATGTGTGGTGATTGTGGAAAATGTACGAGAAAGACATGCTTCAGTATCGGCTGTAGACGAACCCGGACTTCATTGGCAGATGTTGTAACTACCATTAAGAAATATTGACCAGGGCGACGAGTGGCACGGGGGAATCTTTATTTCAAAATGCATTGGTCTCAAGGAAAGGAGCAGGGGGATTAACTGCCAACTCCACTAGTTTTGATAGTTAAAATTGATTACCAGCCGAAATTTACAGTACTAAGGGTGCTTTACTAAAGGGAGCTAGCATTCTTCATAAATGAACAGACAACTCTCAAAATCTTAAGGAGATTTCTTAGGGTGAATGGTGGCTATTTTGAAAATATTAAAGAGATTTTGCAAATCGGTTGTCTCTCCTGTAAAGCTAACTTTATTTTCCACCCCTTAGCGATACTGCGATTTGTAAAGAAATTTATGAACATGAACTGTGAAGCTCAAGTAGTGTTTCCGTAAGATTTATAGAAAACCGATAAAATCTCTCTTTTGCTTCAAGTTTTTTTCAGTTATAAACGCCACTTTTTTAACGAATTTTAACTAATTTTGCAACATTATTGAAAATAAATCACTAGTTTCCTAAGAAAAATACAAATTTCTCTCTTTTCTATCCTTTTTAATTGCTTTTTTATTTCGTTGGTCCTTTTTTAGGATATGTGCTTAATTATTTTCAAATTTAAATTTCACTAAAGGTATGTAACACATCTCACTATATGGTACTCAATATGCAATGCCGTTTACCCATCAGCACATGTTTTAAAAATATTAGCATAAAAGCTTTCTAATGAAATCCAAACATTTACGAATTCTTAAATGATTTTATACATTAAATTTGCTTTCTTTTACATTAACTTCGCATAATGTTCACTTAGCATTTTCATTAATAACTAAACATTCCATGTCTACAAACAACTTTTATTTCTCATCAAGATTAATATGTAAAGTTAGGAAAATCTATTTATTCCAAACAATTAATCGATTAATTCTCTACTGGGACTTATCTTAATGAATTTATCCTTAATGATTTATCATCTTTCGTTAATGAATTTATTTTAAATTCTTTCAAATAATTTTTATGTTTTACCTTTTTACTAAACAAAGTAATCTTATATCGAACGATCATTAACCGTGAATGTTTCATTTTTCATGCTATTTTTCTTGTTCATGGAAAATAGATATTTCTATATATTGCACAAAATTCATCCATCTTCATTAAACATAATTGAAAATTTGCATTTTTTTCTTAGAAACATGCATATTATTAAAGAAATGTTTCTAAATTTCAACAAACTATGTACCATTTTACTCAAATAACGAACGATATTAAATCGCATTTATTCAAAACATGATTTACTTTAAGATCCGTTCATTATTATTCAAATTTTGTGATGCCGTAGTAAAATGTTTTAAAGTAAATACAAGATTTTAAAAAAAACAGTTTTAATGAATTTAATTTTGATATCTGCGCATATATACATGCTACAATTTTTAGACTTCGGTTGAAAGTCATTATAAATATCATTAAACTTTATGCATTGATCTGAAGTAAAAACCATGCATTAAGAGGAAGAATATTTTTTCTCCTCATAATAGACAGGCATTGTACTTTTGCTAAATAAAGACATTTTAAATCTTTTGTTAAGTAGTTTTTTTCTTAAAATCTGTCTTTTTATTTACCACATAATGATAAATTTATTAATTTACAAATACTTCTATCGTAGTTTTATATTCTTCAAAATGAAAGAATCAATTCATCTTAATGAACTTAGCAAAAGTTTATATTTAGTAGTTGCTTTAACATTTAATAGTTGCTTTAACATTTTTTTGGTTTCCCAATAATAATGTAATTAAGTATTCCTTTAATAAATGCGAAGAAAACTTTGCGCTCCCATAAGGCAAAAACAATTGGAAAAACAAATCGAAAAATAAGTACGTGTTTAGAAAATTTTTTAAGAAAACAAGGGATAAAAAAATTATTAAACACAGTAAAATGGTAATAAATAATATGACTAATAAGCTGTTAAATATTTGATAAATTAACAAGAGTTTCTTTTCTTTCGAAATAAGTTTGAAGGGAAATTTTGCTTTTACTAGACTATGCCCAAAATGCAGTAAATTTTAAAAATATTTAATTCGATTTTAGTATTCGCTGTTTTTTTTTCTTGCAATGTAATATAGT